TAGGGAAACTCGTCTGTTGAGGTGATGAGTTTCCTTAGAAATAATCTTTTTAATAGTCCCAGCTAAGTGAGCCCCATGTGAGCCAATATTTTAATTTATCAACAGGAATTCATCACGTCGACATGACGAGTCTGGTCATATATTAATTTTTTAAACTCAGTAAATAATTTAAAATGGAAAAAAGAAATAAACTAGGGAAACTTGTCATGTCATGGTGACGAGTTTCCCTCGAGTTTTAAAAAAACCTGTCGTTAGAGCAGTTGGGCAACGAGTAGCTGCAACAATCAAATTCCAATGATCAGCATGTAAGTTATCAACTCGACGTGACGAGTTCAGTGAGATTTTAAAAAAATGCTGTTGGTTTGGGTTATGAATAGGGTTTAGGGTTTTATTATTTTTGTTAAGAAAAAATTAAAAATTCCCAAAAAAATGTCTACCTGAGAAAAAATGTTACCACTTGATGTTATCCATATTTCTTCACTCGACCTCAATTCAGAAGAAGAACGAGGTATTCTTCAACGAGGAATGACACTAGGAGATCATCATCATCATATTATTATCTATCTACAACAGTCCAGACTATATCCAATGACATTTTGCATGTTTTAAGGTGAACCCAGCACTAATTCGATACTGATTGAACGTTGGGGGCCCGAAACGTGTACTTTATATTTTTCGAGTGGTGAGGCGACGATAACATTGGAAGATGTCGCTTACGAACTCAATGTTTCGGTTAATGATGTGCCACTAATGAGGCACAACGATTTCGACCAATTCGTTGTTGTTCACCAAGTTTTGAGAAAGATGCCACCACTAGAGGTCTTAGACGAGCATCAAATACGGATAACTTGGTTTAGAGTCTGAATTTAATGTGACTAACAGCTCTATCGAACAGCATGTTTATTTTCATCCCAAGCATGTCTTCTCCAATTGATTAGAGGGATATTATTACCGAATAAATCTTGGAATTTGGTACTCATTTAGTATCTTCCGATATGAATAATTTTATTGTGTGTCGTAACACTTGTTGGGGTTGGTCATTTTGCCATTTTTAAACCGGAAACTTTACAAGGCTACAATCTTCGAAAGGGGTCAAAAAGCCGATGTAGCGGTGATTTAGTCTTGCTATAGTCTTGGACATGGTATCAATTCCCATTTTTTATGCCAATTACACCATACCTGATTGAGTTTCATCGGCTGTAAGGTAATTTTTTAACTTTATTTTACATTTTTAAATTTATTTTTACATTTTTTTAATTTTTTATTTTTATATTACTTAGATGACAACATAAAATAACCGAGACCAAGTTACGAGGTGTAACTAAAAAAGATATACAAATGAGGAATGATATCACTAGTCGACGTGCGATAAATATTCAATTGTTAGTTTTATTTATTATATTATATTATTTAATTTTTAACTTTATTTGTACTAACTTTTATAATTAATGCATGTTTACAGTTTTCTTGGATTTCGTATTCTAACGTTAAAATGTACCGGTTATTGCCCGAGATTTTTTTGAAGGATCAGAGTTTTTATGTGCTGTTACGCCTTTGCTACACTTTTCGATTGTCGAGATGCATGTCGTAGATAGAGTGTTGCGACAATTTGCATCTCATCAACAAATTCCTAAGCAAATATTGATATTCACGCTCCATGGTATTGGTATGTGTGGGAAGCATAAAGATAATTGGTTGAGGAAGCATGTTGTCTACATTGAGAAATGATATTATCGTCAATTATCGGTCCCTATGCATTACGAGATTACGTATGCTGGCCTTGATTTGACATTTCTCTCTACCTCTAAAATTGTGAAGCAAATGGAAAATCATATTTAACGACACCGGAAATGGGAACAACTCAAGGCGAATTTGTAAAGTCCAAGAAATCATCATCGTATATTCATCTTCTGCTTTTGTCGAATATTTTGCATATCATACCAGTTATGGTTTTATCCTTCATATCATGCTTCAACGGAGACTTAGTCGAATGGAATTTATTTTGAAAATACACGATTTTTCGACTCGGGTACCCGACCTGTTAAATTTTTCGGGTTTCCGAGTCGGGCTCGAGTCACAAATGTTACTTAACCGGGTACCCGCCGATCCAGTACTCAGTTTATTATATATATATAATATATATATATTATTTTATATTAAATGTTTATTCATAATTTTCAAATTCACCATCACATTCTAAATTCCTAATTTCTTAAATTTCCTACCATAACATTCTAATTTTTTTAAAATTATTTTTAACTTGGAAACACTTGAAATTTAATTATATTTTTATTTATTATTTTTTGCAATTAGTAATTCGAATTTAGTGTGAATTATATATATAACTTTAATTTTAGAATTATATATATATTTCAAAAAATATAATTTAAAAAATTTAAAAAATGAATCGAGTACACGGTATTTCGTGTACGCGATCGGTTTTGAACACCCCTAATAATTAACATTTTCAATTATTAAATATATTTAGGTTTTATATAAACTATAAACTTTTAATTTAATCTAAATATTATTAATTTTTATCATTAATAAAGGCAAAAAGACATCAGAGGTCCCTGTACTTTTGAAAAAATCAACGTGTCTCTCGTATTATTTTCTCTCAATGTGGCTCTCCAAATTAGAAAACAAACACAATGTGATCCTTTAACCAACGTTTTTAGTCGTTGGTTGTTACAATACCAGTGTGCCAGTTCATGATGCTGACGTGACGGTCCCTGGAGCTGACATGACAGTTCATCTGTCATGTTTAAGTTACCAATTTAGTCAATCTATCATCTCAACTACATTAATCTGTCACCCTAAACTGTCATTTCAGCACCATGGACTGTCATGCTAGCATCGGGATTGCCATGTTAGCACCTTAAACCACATCAGCACTGAAATGGTCAACGACAAAAAAATTGGTCAAAGGGTCACAATGTTTTTTTCTGAGTTAGAATGCCACATTGAGTGGAAATAATACAAGAGCCATATTGTTTTTTTCCTTCAAAAGTACATGGACGTATGATGCATTTTTGCCTAAAATAAATTTTTAATAACATTATTAAATAATTTTAATAAAAGTTTCCATTAAAATATTATTCATATATCATTCACATATTATTATCAAACAATATTTAATTGGTAATTTCTAATGTGAGAAGATCGAAGAAATTAAAATCATAATTAAACCTTCTATTTCTTATATATTTTTGTTAAGTTATTTATTTTAAATTCTCGTTCGATCTAGTGATTGGATTGCAAATAAAAATAAAGCATGACAGAATTAGTGATAAAAAGTCAAATAAATATTTCTAAATACAGTAATAATAGTATTTTATTGTTTACTTTAATGTTATAAATATTTGTTTATTGGTTGATTAAATGATTTTGAATCTGGGTGGTGGCTTGTGTGGTTTGTTTCTGATTGTTTAAGTATTGAGCCGGCCGCCAAAAAGGCTAAAACAACGCAGCTATAATCTTTTTCTTGCGGCTCACGGCTTACATTGTATAACTTTTTACACCTAATTTATTGCTTATTGCTTTACTAATTAGGATTAACATTTATTAATCGCATAATATTTGATTAAAAGATCCAAGTGAACTTACCGACATATGTTGGTTTCAGGTAGTAAGTAGTTTGATATTGTTTAGCAATGTCTCATGTTCAAATTCCTTTTTATGTAGAAAATCTCCGCTGAGAGACTCACCTACCAAAATCAGATGTGCGACGGGTAGATCCAGTTTAGTCAGAGCAAGACCTTAGAATTGGAGGGCAACAAAAAAATCCAAGTGAATTTATTTATATTATAGTAGACTTAATAGTAAAAAATTTAGAGTTTAAATTTTCTTTATTGATTTCTGATGAATAAAGATAATATTTATTTGAAAATATTCAATCATTAGAGAATGAAAACTCATATATTTTTGTAATTATCGTACTTGATAAATAACAAATTTTTAATTATTAAAATCAATTTATCCACATTAGAATTTAAACTTAATGATATAGGTTAGAAGGAAAATGGTGTCACCCTTCTAATAAATGGGAAAAAAAATAGATGGTCACTAGTTATACATCTAAATCAAACCTTCTAATAATTATTTATAATCATTCAAGATTAATAATTGTCATCATATATGCGCACCTTTTTATAAGGTATAGATAGCTAAAAAGTTATGATTTGTAATCACTACATATTATTAAAAAATAACATTAATGAGATAATATTATAGGAATAAAAATTTAAATGATATTTAAACAATTTTATTGATTAAAATAATCAGTTTCCACTTTAAATCTCAGTTCATTTTCTAAATATCTTAATAACTTCAATAAACATTGCTTCTAATAATGATAATTCTTATTTATTTTTTTCATTTAATTATTTTTAGTTAGTCGTAATGATTATATTAATACAATATATATTGATACATCGATATATTTTGTTTCATTTCCTCTGTAGAGATGGTAAAAGATCCCATATATATATATATTTATTTATTTATACAGAATAAAATAAAATATATATTAATATGAACCATAATAAATATATTTATTAAAAATCAAAAAGACTCCTCAAACCTAAAACGAATCTAATAAAACTAGAAATATTGGCTGTTCACTAGGACACAAAAACAGCAAAAACACTTCTCACATAATGAAGTCCATCATTCCACATGAACCAGCCATATACTGGTTGGTCACTGAATTATCAGTTCGAAAAAATGTTACTGTGAACTTTTGTTTTTGGCCGATATAGTCAAAATACAACACATCTGGATTAACTATAATTCCAATCCTGCAGGTAGATACCAGCTAGCAGTGTATTTACTCTGACAGTTGCATGCGTTGGTAACTGTTCTCGATACTGTCACAGGATCGTAAAGGTTGGCAACCACAACTGACGGATAATTGAGGTCAAGTGAATAAGCTTGACTCGGACAAAAACTTCTCAAAGTTTCTTTGCTTAGAAGTCCGGGGCTAACAGCACATAGATAGAAGATAATCTTCATACGAGGCATCGTAGACAAGACCAGGATCCGCTGCTAGTACAGGTCGAAAATTACCGGCCCCAAAATCAAAGGGATTTGCAGCACTATAGGTTCTAAAATCTTCAATGGTGTTATTAGAATTGTCCGTCAATGTAGCTGCATAAAAAATGATAAAATTTCAATTTAATAATAAGACAATCACAATTTGATTTAAAAATTAATTTCTAAAATATCTTAATTACCGGTAGTCATGAGAGCAGATTTTATAGCTGAAATGCTCCAGTCGGATGTACTGCTCTGAGAAGTGTAACCACACCGGAAACATGAGGACAAGCCATGGAAGTTCCTGAAAATATATTATATTTCACATGTCTTTGATCATATGGAAGCTTTGTAGGAGATGATGCCAGACTCCATGCTGCTAGAATCCGAAATCCCGGAGCGATAATATCAGGCTGTCACCAAAACAAAATACCAGAAATCAAGTCAAACAATATACAAAGTTGATTATATATAAATATATTCTATGATTCACAAATTACTTTGAGAATAGGATCAATATGGTTTGGACCACGACTAGAGAACGGTGCCACTAAAGGCGCTTTGTAAGTTCGTGATTGAACCGGCACGATAGTTGCGTAGGATACATTTGTTGCAAGAAAAGATGTGGAAGTTGAATATGTGAAGTCACAAGATCAAGTTGCTGATGTTTTACCAAGCCACTGACCAACGAAGACTTCTTAAGATTAAGGAACTACTAGGGGTCACGAGATCAAGTTTAAGGGAGGGTGTTGGATCATAAACTTGATCCATTATGGGAGCCTAAACCAAACCCAAAACTAAATTGATGTCATTACTTACATCATTTAATTAAAGATGTCATTGCTTACATCATTTAATTAATGATGTCACTGCTTACATCAATTTAGTTAGGTGAGAGTTAGATATTTTTGAATTTGTAATGGTTTAAATTAGTTTATTTGTGTGGTGTAGGATTGTTCTTGAGTAGTATAAATACCCCTTCCCATTTTAGTTTTAAGCATCAGAAAAATTAAGAGCTTCTAAGTGAGTGAAGAAGCAAAGTCTTATAAGAGTGAGTTGTAGTTCTTGTTTTTTGAGTGAGAGGACTCTTGTAATATTTGTTTGAGTTTCAATAAAAGTTGTTTGTGTGAGTGTTTTATTTCCAACAAAGTGGCATCAGAGAGAGTTGGAAGATCGAAGGTCTCGACGAGAGGAATACGTCGCCGCCATAATTTTCTCAATCTGAGTTCTGACGCACCGCCACGCATCGCCGGAAGATGCTGCCAGAAAATCGAGTTGAGCCGAGTCAGCCGAGTTGGAGCCCTTGACCGAGTTGTCCAAGCCCTCCAAAGTTTTTTTTTCATCGTTCCGGATTCATCCGTGCAATCGGATTTTACAAAATCTCATTATATTGAGAGATATGGCAAAGGTATGGCACCATTCCAAGTTCCGACACTCAACAACAACAACTACGACAATTGGAGTATCAAATGAAGGCACTTCTTGGATCACAAGATGTGTGGGATATCATAGAGAAAGGCTATAACGAGCCTGCGGATGATGATGCTTTTGCTACTCTTACACCAGATCAAAAGACAACTTTGAAGGATTCAAGAAAGAGAGACAAGAAGGCTCTCTACCTCATCTATCAAGCATTAGATGATGATGGTTTTGAAAAGATTTCAAGTGCAAGCTCTAGCAAGGAAGCGTGGGAGAAGCTGCAAACCTCTTACAAAGGATCCGAGCAAGTGAAGAAGGTTCGTCTCCAAACATTAAGAGGTGAATTCGAATCCTTAAACATGAAAGCATCTGAGTCTATTTCAGATTATTTCTCAAGAGTAGTAGCTGTTTCTAATCAATTAAAAAGAAATGGTGAAAAGTTAGACGAGTGAGGATAATAGAGAAGATACTCCGTTCGTTGGATCAAATTTGAGCACATCGTCGTGACGATTGAAGAAACTAAAGACTTGGAAGAAATGAAGATCGAACAGCTCCAAGGATCATTGCAAGCATACGAAGAGAAGCATAAAAAGAAGCATGAGTTTACTGAGCAACTCCTCAAGCTGCAACTCAAGGATATGCAAGACCAGGATCCGCTGCTAGTACAGGTCGAAAATTACCGGCCCCAAAATCAAAGGGATTTGCAGCAATATAGGTTCTAAAATCTTCAATGGTGTTATTAGAATTGTCTGTCAATGTAGCTGCATAAAAAATGATAAAATTTCAATTTAATAATAAGACAATCACAATTTGATTTAAAAATTAATTTCTAAACTATCTTTAATTACCGGTAGTCATGAGAGCAGATTTTATAGCTGAAATGCTCCAGTCGGGATGTACTGCTCTGAGAAGTGTAACCACACCGGAAACATGAGGACAAGCCATGGAAGTTCCTGAAAATATATTATATTTCACATGTCTTTGATCATATGGAAGCTTTGTAGGAGATGATGCCAGACTCCATGCTGCTAGAATCTGAAATCCCGGAGCGATAATATCAGGCTGTCACCAAAAAAAAAAAACCAGAAATCAAGTCAAACAATATACAAAGTTGATTATATATAAATATATTCTATGATTCACAAATTACTTTGAGAATATAGGGATCAATATGGTTTGGATTACGACTAGAGAACGGTGCCACTAAAGGCGCTTTGTAAGTTCGTGATTGAACCGGCACGATAGTTGCAGTAGGATACATTGTGGAATAGATGTATTGGAGAATTGAACGCCACTGTCGTATATAACTTCAGTTGCGGGAACGAAATGAATGTCGAAAGATAGTTATCTCCATCGGATTTGGAGTTAGCTAATATCATACCGACGCCGGCTTTGCTCACTTCAATGCCTTTATCTATATTTAGTCCACTTCCGGTGAAACACACCACAATCTTCCCATTCACCTTGAAAGGGTCAAGTGAACCAGCTAGACAGTACCTAGAGTAAAACAATAGGGATCTTATTCAATATTACAAAACCAAAAGCGAGAGGAGATGAAAATATACTTACCCTGCAGAGTCGGTAGACACACCAGGGAGAGCTGCATCGCTTGCGTAAACTAATGGATACATGACATTCCTTGTGTTCTGTGACATGCTATATCCCTACAAACAAAAAAAAAAGGTTCACGAATTTATGATTTATGATAATTATAATGTATGATCAGATCGGATCTTACGGGGATTTCTACGCCATTTCCGAGATAGACGGGCGAGTAAAATCGTCGGTCGATGGAGCTAGCACCAACAGTTATGATCCACGGTGCTACATTTGACAACGTTGATGGGTTAGGACCACTGTTCCCGGCAGCGCATACAGTGATGATGTTGCGACTTAAAGCATGCAACGATCCGATAGCCATGACATCTTGGTCGAAAGATTTTTGTTGGGGGAGGCCGATGGAGACACTAAGTACGTCGACACCATCACCTATGGCCGCGTCAAAGGCCGCAAGTATATCCTCGGGCACACATACGTTGCCGTCGGACTTTGGCTTACCAGGGATTGCCCAACATGCCTTGTAAACGGCAATGCGGGCCAAAGGAGCACCTCCTGAGGCTGTACCCCTTGCAACCCCTCCGATGCCAGCGGCATACTTGACTCGTCGACCCGCTGCAATGGAGGCCGTGTGGGATCCGTGGCCATCGGCATTGTCGAAACGATTTTTAAACGGGTGGGGGGAGCGAGATTTTGGAAAACCGCGTCATTTTTAATTGTTCTCTTTACGATTGAATTTTAATTAAAAACGATGCGATTTTAGAAAACCTCTCGTTGCGAAAAATTAGAAATTCCTTTACGATAAAAATATAAGGTTCGAGGAGTCGCCACCAATCTTTGATTAGGGTGTGATTGGGCACCCAAAAACATTGTCATTTTAAATAAAAATTAATTTTAATTAAACGACAAATTTACGGTCTACGTTACCAAAATCCAAGTTCGGAGTCGGTTACGCGTGGGGAAGGATTAGCACCCCCAACGCCCCTAATCGGTACCTAGTCGATTAATTAATTTCTTTGCACCGAATTTCACAAGTTCAAATTTGATTTGATTAATGATCCCTTTAAACGACAAACATGCAAATTTGCAACATTCAAAGCAACAAAATAGATTTAATTTAAAATTACCAAGTCATTAGAAAGATAAAGAATATTCGATTATTTAAAAATATCGAGACCAGATCTTTAGTTCAGTTCTAACGACCCTTTTCTCGAAAAGTTTAAATAGTCGAATATTTCCTTTTCTTTCGCTCCCAAATTTTACAGTATATATCCAAATTTAATTAGACGTTACTGACGGGATACATTTTAATTTAAAATCGTCAAAACAACTTTCCTGTAAGTTAAGGAAAGCCATTCTGATAATTTTAGATTAAAAGGGCATTACCCTTAATTCCGATTATGTGATTAGATCGAGTCATGCACATGAGGCTAAACATGCATAAAAACTACACCTAATATACAAACACTAACAACATGCTCGGAATGTGTATTCAATAAAGATCACATACATATTTAAAATATATATATATATATATACTCTATACATAGCTATACTTAATGAACAAAGATGGCCTAAACACAACCAACGAACATAGCATAACAAATTATAAAATTTCAGAAAATAATTATATTTAAAATTAACTTTAATATACTACTTATGAATAAATACAAATTAAGGTAGAATGCTAGCATTATACCGTACTGAATACTAAGAACTGAAATGGAACAATTCTCATTACAAGGGATAAAAACAAAATAAAACAAAACACGCTCAAGACTAAAATGCAACATACAAAAAGGTGGATGTCAAATGTTTAACAACAAAGATTTAAATACAACAAACATAGGACTAAAACAAAGAAACTAAATCACAGGATCTTTTCATAACATTTTTCATTCTGGACAGTCCAAACATGATATAACCAAAATATACATAGGATCAAAATGCAAGTTTCTAAAACTATGCATCCAATGTAAAAACAACAATAAAATCGGCCTAGCAGGATTCGGGACTAACGTGTAAACCGCTGGAAATTTAAGGCCAAATCATAAAACAGCAAAGTCACTTTGGGACCAAATCGGAATGGACTTAACCTCTATGGGCCCTGAACGAGATTAACCCCTCCCTCAAAACACGAGATATTTTCCCACGATAACAAAACGCCGTCGTTTCAAACACTACCCAAAGCTACGTCGTTTTGACGTATTAATATAGTGGAAATCAGGGTAATTTCCTAACCTAAACTCATTTCCCTCTCCATCCAGAAGATACATCCCCTCGCCGTTCTCTGCCTCTCCCATATCCTCTCTGCTCTCCCGCTCTCAACCCTAAACGAGACAGAAGGCCCACCGCGGCCTCCGTCGTCAACGGCTCCGATGGGGAGCCACACAAGCCCGACGATAACTCGAGCAGACCTCTACCTAAAACCGAACCTTAACCCGAGACATAGCTCAAAACCCGCTGCTAACCAAACAACCCGAGCCTCGTTACCGGTTGAACTATGACCAAACATGTACTGAACCCTTCAAATCCCTAAAGCCCGAGACTTAAAACCGACATGCATGACTCGAAATCAACGGGAGGCGAAAGGTTTTACCTTCTCACAGACGGGGTATGGATTCCTAGTGACGTAAGCTACTGGATCGGAAGGGTAAGTCTCTTTCGCTTTCGTTTGTTCTCTGGTTGTTGATGAATGATCTTCTGGATATTTCCCTTTTTTCGTTGCGTTGATGGCTAAAATGGTTGGTTTCTCTTTTTGTTATTTTTGGTTTCGTATCTGATCGTAATGGTCCACTCTCGGGTTCTCTCCCTGATGCGTTTTTCTGCTTTCCCCCTCTTCAAATCCCCCCTTCCAGCCGTTTTCTTTCTGGTTATTTCTAGTAGATATTTTCTTTTTTTCTGTGCCTTCTGCTCTGCTTCTTGTTTGGTGCGTTTGCAGGTCACGGGCGCAAGCTGGTCACGGGGGTGGCCGATAGTTCTGGGAGTTCCTCCGGTTGATCTGCACGATGGCTCGGTATTCACGGAGAGCTGTGAGCCGTTGGATTGTGAATTCAGATCCAACGGTGAGGGCTCAGCTGCGCATAGAGTGAAGGAAACCCTAATGGATCTAGGGTTTCCTCAAACGGGCCACAATTCTTGGGCTCCCACTTTGGTTCAGTTTCATTTATTGGGTCAACGGGCTCTTCATCAATTGGACTTGCTGTAATTGATTTTAACAATTTTGGCCTGTAAAATAAAATGATACTTAGTGAATCCATGTACCATATTTATTTATATATATATATATGATCACACGCATAACCACATAGATAAATAGACAATCACTATATAATTAAACACACCCATACAACTAAAACTAATAATAGTATAAATAAATAAACATATGCAAACTTGGTAATAATAACTAATTAGTATTATGAGAACCCTAGACAAAAACGGGTGTCCACAGCTGCCCCTCTTTGCTCATTCTTGTGTTAACAGAATAGGGCAAAGATAAAGAAGACAACGCGTTTTTGTCTAATTTCGTCTTTGCTTTGAAACTTGATAAGGGATTTGCTCCACTCCTTCTCCAGGGTAGGTGAGACTTGAAAAACCTTCTGTCAACGGGTTCGTTCCCTCTTCCTTCATGGAGTATAGAACTTGAGCAATCATTTGCAAACGAGTTCGCTCCCTCTTTCTCTAGGGAGTATAGAACTCAAACATCTTCTTCTTACGGGTTCGCTCCCTCTTTCTTTCAGGAAGTATAGAACTCGAACATCTTCAAACGGTTCGCTCCCTCTTTCTTTCAGGAAGTATAGAACTCGAATATCTTCTTCAAACAGGTTCGTTCCCTCTTTATCTAGGGAGTATGGAACTCGAATAATCTTCTGCAAATGGGTTCGCTCCCTCTTTCTCTAGGGAGTATAGAACTCGAACATCTTCTTCTTACGGGTTCGTTCCCTCTTTATCTAGGGAGTATGGAACTCGAACATCTTCTAACAGGTTCGCTCCCTCTTTCTTTAGGGAGTATAGAACTCGAAAATCTTCAAACGAGTATGCTCCCTATTTCTTTAGAGAGTATAAGACCCACAATCTTCAGCGATCGCGTCTGCCTCCTATTTCTTCAGAGAGTATAAGACCCACAATCTTCAACAATCGTGTCTGCTCCCTATTTCTTCAGAGAGTATGAGACTCGAACAATCTTCAACAATCGTTGGGAAACCTGTAAATATTTAAGTCATCATGCAATGTCATGATCCTATTCATGCCTAAAATGTATGCAATTTAATCCACTTTCTTCTTCGAAAGAATACTATCCCCTTTGATTTCAGTGGAACTCGGTTTCGCTTTGGGCATAGAGCATTTCACCAGTTCACCCCAGTTGATACTCTCAATACTATAACTTTTGGCTTGACAAGACTTTGACTTCTTTCTTTCTTGAGGCCTGCCAGTACCCCTGACCAATCTTCTTGATAAATGACAACATCCTTGGGTCATCTATTAATGGCTGTGACTTTCTATGAATTCCAAAGTTTTATCTTTTCCCAACCATACAAGCTTATGGGTAAAACCATTGCTAGCTTCAGAATACATGCATTTCCAGAACCTTTTGCATAATAATACAAAATGATCTCATGTACCACAAGTTAAGCTGTACGTTTTAACTTTTTCAAAATTAGATGCTTGTAAAAGGGAAATCAAGAAGGGAAAATATCTCTTTATTTATATAAATGGCGAAGAATTTTTAGGCAACTACATGACAAACTTTTAATCGGAAAAGAACAAAAGGATAGGTGTCTTCAAATATCAATAACACAAATGCTCTTGAACTGGCACGCCGTCAGAATGACTCGAGTGTAGCTTCTGTCAAAAGGACCTCCAAAATGGTGATGACACCTAAGAGTGCGAAATCCTTTCTGGACCCCAAAATCTCCCATTATTGGATGCCATAAACCAATATTGAATCTCACGTGCATTTAATTCCTCCTCTGGTTGTCCCCACCGAGACTCATTGATCTTTGGTCTCAACCCCAATGGCCATTATCGTTACCCATGTCAGGAGATCTTCCTACTCCCCAAAAACAATTCAGATCCTCCACCATACACGAACTCTGAATTTAAAACTCAAATCGCCCTTTGCGGGTTTTCGACTCGATCGATCTTTGGTTTCAAGACGCCCTTTTTCGAGTTTTTCATCTTGAACCCTCATTTTTCATTTCATTTTTTTTTTCATTCATTTTATTTTTTATTTTTCATTTTTTCATTTTCACTCATTTTTTCTTCTTTTTTTTTCTTCAAGCAAAATACTTCTTAACTGCGTCAGAATTCACTGGATGAGGTAATTCAGACCCATCCATCTCAGTTAAGACCAGAGCTCCCCCAGAGAAAGCTTTCTTGACAACATAGGGTCCTTCCCACTTGGGCATCCATTTCCCTCGAAAATCTTTTTGAATGGGCAATATCCTCCTGAGCACCAAATCTCCTTCGTGGATTTCTCGAGGGCGAACTTTCTTATCATGTGCTCGTATCATCCGCTTCTGGTATATCTGACCGTGACAAATAGCCTTCAATCTCTTTTCTTCAATCAGATTCAATTGGTCATATCTGGCCTGTACCCATTCTGCCTCATTTAGCTTAACCTCTGATAAAACCCGGAGCGAGGGAATTTCCACTTCAATAGGGAGGACAGCTTCCATCCCATAAACTAGAGAAAACGGAGTTGCCCCAGTAGACGTCCGTACAGAAGTCCGATAGGCAAACAGAGCAAATGGCAACTTCTCATGCCAATCTTTATAAGTTTCAGTCATCTTCTCTATAAGCCTCTTAATATTCTTATTAGCCGCCTCCACTGCCCCATTCATCTTTGGGCGATAAACCGTGGAATTATGATGCTTTATTTTGAATTGCTCACATACATATTTCATCATCTTGTTGTTTAAGTTCAATGCATTGTCAGAGATAATTCTCTCTGGTAAGCCATATCGGCAGATGATTTCTTTCTTCAAGAACCTACATATCGTTGACTGGGTAACACTTGCATAGGAAGCTGCTTCTACCCACTTGGTGAAGTAATCTATTGCTACCAGAATGAAGCGATGACCATTTGACGCTTTTGGAAAAATTTGCCCAATAACATCCATGCCCCACATAGAAAACGGCCACGGAGCTGTCATCACATGCAACGGATGAGGAGGGGTGTGCATTCTATCCCCATAAATCTGACACTTGTGACACTTTCGGGCATAATTGATGCAATCAGTCTCCATAGTTGACCAATAATACCCAAATCTCATAATCTGTCTGGCCATTACATGCCCATTAGCATGGGTGCCACATATTCCTTCATGTACTTCTTCAAGAATCATTTTCACTTCTTTATTGTCCACACACCTTAATAAGACCTGATCCATGCTTTTCTTATATAAGATCTCACCATTAAGCACATACCCTGCTGCCATTCTTCTAATGGTCCTTTTGTCATTCTCAGTTGCCTGTTCGGGGTAACTTTGATATCTTATATACTGGAGGATATCATAGTACCAAGGTCCTTCATCATCTTCTTCTTCAATGTCAAAGCAGTGGGCTGGATATTCATAAGCCTTCATCTCAAATGGCATCATATTTGAATGCTCGTTCATCTTAAAGGCCGCTGCCAAAGTAGCCAAGGCATCCGCCATTTGATTTTCTTCTCTGGGGAGGTAATTAAAAGTCACTTCTTCAAATTCTTCAATAAGTCCCAGAACTAATTTACGATATTCCACAAGTTTGGGATCTTTGGTTTCCCATTCACCTCTGAGTTGGTAAATTACCAAAGCTGAATCCCCATATACCTTCAGCATTTTTGCTTTGAGTTCAATAGCTGCTCTAAGACCCATAACACAAGCCTCATATTCAGCCATATTGTTTGTACAATCAAAATTGAGCCGACTGGTAAAAGGATAATGCTCTTCACTTGGTGAGACCAAGATTGCCCCAATCCCATGCCCCAAGGCGTTTGAAGCACCATCAAAGTTCATCTTCCAGTATTTACCGGCAAGAGCAATTGTTTCTTCCTCCGAGATAGCCATTAAATCCTCATCCGGGAAATCGAAATTCAACTGTTCATATTCTTCTGAAGCCCTACTCGCAATGAATTCTGCTATGGCGCTCCCTTTAACTGCCTTCTGGCTTACATACTGGATATCAAATTCGGACAACAGGATTTGCCAACGGGCTAACCTTCCAGACAATGCAGGTACCCCCATTAGATACTTTAAAGGGTCCAGCTTAGATATGAGCCAGGTAGTATGATACAACATATACTGTCTAAGTCTTCTGGTAG